AAAAACAGGAAAATTGTTGAGCATTTGCAGCTTTTATGTTGTAAACAGTCATTTTCCTGATTCTGTTGGTAAACGATGAATAGTGTTCGAAGGTAGAGTGAGTTCTTCACCGATTAATTTATTCTCATTGGTGCCGACTGTGACTTGTTTAAAACGGCGGTTCGTTAATCTCAAGCAAATCTTACCAGGCTATGTTCACCTTGTTCTATGGCAGATTTTTGCAACTTATTTCAAAGGTGAAAACAGCCTTGTTTGTCCATTATTGGTTCAACACACTTATTCTCTGCGAGCAGCAATATTTTCAGTGCAGAAGGATACACACGATCAATCTATTCTGAGTTTCTTTTCGTTTGATTACTAAAACCAGGGAATGGCGTACGCGTTTACTCGTTCAGGATTGATTGTGATGTTTTTCATTGTTGACAGAAAGCTAGTCACCAAACAACTGCCTTGGAATGTTGTGTTATTGAGGGTCTGCAAGGCGAGCGAGGTGGAGAGCGTCGTGTGTTGCCGATGACAGAGCTCAGTGTTGTGGTCGCTGGTGCCCTCCTGGTGGTGCACTCGGGTCATGTGCAACTAGAATGTAACGGTGCCCGAAGTCTTCATGGTGACACTAATGTCTCGCAACAGCTCATTGCTGAGACTGTGTTCAGACCACTGTAGGAGTCTCACCATACCCTGACCTGAGCAGCATTATGTGTCGCCATGTCTACCCAACCTGCACACCTGGGCACACCTGCACGACAGAATGCAGTTTGGTGGTCCGCTGCGTGTTTCGTGTCTCCCTAGTTGTAAATAAATGTGCGAAAGGTAGACACATTGAGGTGCATGTCAGAGTGGTCACAACAGTTCATTTACCTAAGCTGAGAATAACAAAGACCAGCAGCCGCTCTCCTTGCATCCGATCTCTGTCCCATGTATGGAGTACTTCTTTACGTCCCTTGTCTTCTCCGGTCTGTCTCTCTTTACTGGGTGCGTCCGTCTAATCTGTGATTTTTACAATCAGTGCTGTGCTCTGCTATTTTCACACATCATAAACTGATTAATTTCATCTTCGCTGCGCAGCTTTTATCCAAAGCCACCTTACATTACAAATTCCAAGGAATTCTAGTCCATTTAATGTCACTCGTGTCAATTAACGTTTTCTGACAACATACCAGAAATCAACGTCTTTCCTGGATCTAGAGTTTAATGGTTACATTTGACTGGAACACCCTCACACCGCGGTTGGAATAAATACTGCATTTAATCACATTCTGGTCACGTAGTTTATAATTCTTTCGATTGTTGCAACAACCTGCTATTTGGACATGTTTCTGCTTAACTCTGCATTAATCTCAGGGGCCTGACTGCCCAATCCATACTCCTCGGGTGCAGAAACAATGACATTATTATTGGCGACGGGTGGGCGCAGTGGTCTGTGCGTTTGGATCCTTCAGTGATTAAGGGAGGTGTCTGGGGAACACTTCCAGTTCGACGTCTGCCGCCATCTTGCTTTCAGGTCGTTGTGTCCTTGAGGCAAGACAGCTTCACCTGATATTTTTGTCTTCCTATGGGTATCTTGTCACACACCGTCCGATTTATACCTGGAATATACAAAGTGTACTTGAGTAAATCGCCCTCCCGTGACATTTTTCTGAGGTGTGAAGGGCGTGGTGTGCGCAGTGCATTGATCAAGGAGTTGAAACTCGTCATCCTGCGTTGTGTCCTCGGGCAGAGACACTTCACCACTGACATTGCTCATGTGGGTATGCCACAGTACAATGACCATTTACATGTATGTATGATCTGTATTTGTAAAGTGCTTTGAGTCATTGATAAAGCGCTATAATAAATATAAGGATTATTATTGTTATTATTATAATGTTATATGTCAAAGAGTAGAGTGAAGGGTTAAACCTTCGTTCTGGGGCTGGGATCTGGACCTTAGACACACTGGGACTTTAGAGAAGAGTCAGCAAATACGCCTCACTTTGCAGAGGCCTGATTGGTTGTTGATATGGTCCTCCTGCTTATATGTGAGTGAGCTAACAGGATTTCATCTCAATGCATTCTGGTTCTGATACACCGGTGTTCAGACGATTGGTCGTGGTACATTTGCACTTTGTGTGAGTCTCACGGATCAAGTGGTTCAAAATGGGTTGTACTACTGCTTTCAGAAAAAGATTTTGCCGCTATCGTTGTAAAGGCAACAAATATAAGGCATGCAATGATGAGACAAAATGTTCATTCTACATTGAATATTGTGACAGAAATATCTGTAGACGTCCTGAATTCACTGAGGCTTATGTGAACTATGTTTTCTCAAATTATGAACCAATTTTAGGCTTAAAGAGACATTTTTCAGACATGAAAAACAACCTCAACACTCTTATCCACCAACATGGTTCTTACGAGGTTAGTCGAGTAACGAAGAATTCCTATACTTTCCGGGTTTACATCCCCCGTGCCGCACCCTGAGATCCTCAGAGGCATCGCTGAAGGTCCTTCCAAAGTCCAGGTCCAAACACAAAGAAGACCGAGCCTTTTCTGTCAGAGCTCCTGGACTCTGGAACGACCTGAGCAGATCAGCGCTGCAAAATGTCAATTATGAATAAAGCGTATTATTCTTATTATAGACCCTTGTGAGGTTTCCTATTCTATTCATAGCTGCCTTTACCTCTTGAGATTTAGGAAATTGGGATTGGGGTCAATTCATCAAAGAATATTCACATTCTATCTGAAAGGGTCTCAATAGCACTGAGCTAGCTATCCATCCAGTTAAACCGTTTGAAAGAAAACTCCAGCACAGTTGTCAGTTTTACTGAAGTCTCTTTACTTGGTGAAACTGTAAAGACAATACAGACATAACAGTTTATTATTGACTGCCCGACTGACGAGCTAAATAAACAGAATACTTCACACAATGAGCTACGGCGCACAAACAGAGAAGCTAATCAGCCTAGCCGCTAGTAGCTTAGCGGCAAGGAATACTCACTGCATTCCTACAAACATAAACATTTTACATACAACATATTCCCATTAAGCCACAGCCTGTCGGACAATAACACTCACAGACGATGCGTGAACCAGCGGGAAATACGAAGCACAGCCCATGGAGAGCAGACGTCCGTTCATGAAACAACCCAAGCTACACGTGGAGCACACTCGGAAACAAACAAGTTCGTTCTCCTAGCAACAGGAATCGAATAAACCACTTGGGGCAGCAGTGTCAACGAACCACCACAAGGTGGTGCCAAAACACAGCCAGGAAAACACATACACGACAGATATACACCAAAAACAAACATCAAAGACAGAACACTATCATTTAATGTGTCGATAAATGTTTTTGAAACTAAAAATCAACTCTTTCCTGATAGAAATGGGTAAATTTGACTCGAACACCTCACAAGGGTTGAATAAATACTATTTAATATTCTGGTCCTGAGTTGACATTCTTTGATGTGCAACAACCCTGCTATTTTAATGTGGGCTGTTCTCTGTTAACTCTGCTTAACCAGAGCCTGACTGAATCATACTGCTGTGCAGAAAATGGCATTCTAATTGTGTCAAAGAGTAGAGTGAAGGGTTAAACCTTCATTCTGGACCTGGGCCCGAGACCTTGGACACACTTGGACTTTAGAGAGGAGTCAGCAGACATTATGTAATTCATGAACTGACCTCATTGAGGGGAAGGATTTCTCAGTCATTTGTTGCATAAGGAAATGTTGTCTTAAAGTTTCAGATGAAATGTAAAATAAAAGCTTTGTAAACAATTCTTCTCATCTTTTGATCCTCGTTTATATTTGATCTATTTTCCTGACGAGATTGTGACTTGCTGCACAGTGATGTTTGTAGATGTCTTGTGCTTTTTGACAAATTCAGAATATATTACAATGTAGATACTGCTCATCTCAGACAGCTGCTGAAGACAATCTGTTTCTTGTGAAAAACAATTGTGTTGAATCTCAGAGATATGATCCCTCCTTCAACGGATGGAAATCAAAAGGTTTTTGTAGTTTTTGATTCTGTATTTGACGTAAGCTTCAGCATAAGCTCAACTTCTCAAAGATGGCAGTGCTGTGTTTCAGTGCATTTCCTCACACAGCCCTGCTGCAGACACTGTTTAGTGTGAGGGAATATTTAGACCACAAGATGGCAGCATTATAATGTCAGTTACCTGAAGGAAACTGTAGTTCTGACAGTATGTATAGTCTCTTTAATCACCTGAAACAAACTGGCATTAGACTTACTTCTGTACCATTAAGAGGTACAACATATGGAACATTTACATAAAGTAAGACATGTATAAATGGAAATATACTGGATACCTCAGCTTTCATTTAGGAATAAAATCAATTCATCTCAAATCAAACAACAATGGCAAATGCTTGAATGTACTTTACTTCAGATATTTTTAATAATTCAAGCATATCAATCACGGTGACACAGATCTAGGTCAAATATAATTGGAAATAACACCAACAAGTATGTATCCACACATAGAAAACTATTAAAAAAACAAATCAAACGTATGTTTAAGTGCATTGTTTGTGTGCATGAGTGTGTATGTGTTCTTGTACATCTATCTTTCTGAGGACCAAGAAGAGTTTTAGACCTCAGACAATTTGTGATTGACTTTCAAGGTTCTGTTGGCAAGTTAATTCTCAGATTTAAGGTAAGGCTTATACTCAGGATTGGGTTTATTTGTATATTCTTCTAAAGGGTTGTGGGTATGCCTTTAGTTTTTATGTTTATCCTGCAATTGATGACTTTGGCCACCTGGGGGCAGCAGGAACCAGTTTTAAACACAACATTGACATTTCATCACCTTTCAAATTCAACATAACAGTTTTAGAGTGCAATTTAGTTTCTTACATATTCACAGTTGTAACATTAACCTTGAATTTCGTATGATTACATCATTTATATTCAAACACAAGATCATTTAAACTTTGTTTCAAACTAAAAGCAAGTGCAGTAACACAGACATAGCAAGCCATAATATGTTGATGTTAAAATAATGTCATTTGTTGAGCTCACCATGTCGTTGGTTACTCTGCTAACTTAATAAGAAATGTCATCTGCTAACAAACAGTTAGCTGAACTATTCGTGCTTAGTTTGGGGAGTTTGAGGTTGCCTGTGAGAAACCTATTGTTATTCCCTTTGTTAAAACCAGACAAGCTGGAGCCAACAAGTGACGGCCTCTTTGCCTGAATCATAACACAGCACAAGAGCAAATGCAAATCTGCTGGACTCCACCCAGTCCTGGTATCACGGTTAACTGAGCTAACAGCTAGGTTGTTGACTGCTACAGTTAGTTAACAGTTATCACTTAGCATTACTTTAGCAGCAAGTGCATCTTCTTGTTCATCAGTAAACTATGTGAATGACAGAAAATTGAAAGAGCAGAAAAAAGATTCTCCAGAAATATGATCCAGTTTCACCAAAATCAACCGGAAATCTAAATGAACCCAAACGGTTATTTCCCTCTAGGTGGCCACGCCCATTATTAAGTGAAAACATTTGCTGTCATTTGGCTTAAAATATTTCAGAATACAAATTCTGCAGTCTCCACAAATCGGATAGAAAAATTAAGAAAACCTTTTTGTATCTACTTGGAGTCCAATTATGAAGGCCAGGGGCAAAGGGCAAATGTCCCGATGTCATTGGAAATGGATGATCGACGGTGATATGGTGGAATTCAAAGCAATAAGAAAATCGTTAATTTGGATCTGTTTTGTTGTTTGACGTGCAATACTCGACATAGCAGCTGTTAGAGGATGAAACTATCTTTTCCACTTTGCTTTATTCTTTGTTTTCATCAGAAAGGGGGCGGGCCATCATTTTGCTGTGCAGTGTCGTAGCACTGCTCTCATCTATAGTTACACAGTGTTGCTTAAAGTTGATTTGTTAAACTTGTTAGTCGACTAATTTCCACATCCAACAGAGGGCACTTCAGTGACTGTGTTTTTGTTTCCGTCTGATGAATCTTCCAATAGTCCAATGTTCTCCTTTTAAGCTCGGCTTTTTGTAGATAAATATCAGTTTTTATCTGCTCAATGATCCTCTATGTTCACCAGCCGGTCTCTAAAGGCACATTTCCTCTGCAGCGGGGTAGCCCTGTTTAAGCGTCCCTAAGCGTCCTCACTCAGACCTCGGGCGCCTCGCAGGCCGTCCGAGGCCGTGGCGCATTCCCATTACAGTTTAGGACCTGGGGTAGCAATGCAGTGTAGGCGGGGCGATCGGCTTTTCTTTGGCCAATGAGATGTAGGAACGTCGTCAACTCCTCGGTCGACCACGGGGTGCTTTTCTTTGACGTTGCCATTTTTGTCGCTCCTCCGCTTACAAAAATGCTGTGTATAAAAATGCTGCAAGCTTGCTTCTAGATATATATGCGACACTCATTTTTGTAAGCGGAGGAGCGACAAAAATGGCAACGTCAAAGAAAAGCACNGATCAGCTCATTTTCAGACAGGTTTTTATATAAATGGATCAGGACAAAAAGAGAGAATCTTTTTTCCTGAAACTTTCAGAATCTCTTTACTCAGAGGGGACACGTGTTATAAAATACATGAAAAAGTGGATTTTGCATACTAGGTGAACTTTAAAAACAGTATTCCAAAAACCAATGGGTGATGTACGATGAGTCAATCATTTCCGATTTCCTCTGCTAAAAAACAGCTTCCTACAGCACCTGGAAACACTGATAAAAAAAGGGAACGCTCCTTAAATTTAAGGGAGAATATCTCCTATGCCTTTTTTTTACTACAAGTGACTTCTCTCATATTGATTTCATAATGATTGGATTAGACTTACATTTTGTTGTAGAGACCTTCAGATATGCAGCTGAATGGAATCACACACACACATCTTCTCAGGAGCAGATGTCATATGGGCCACCCTATACGGCCAGCAAAGGGTAATGCATGCATAAAGAATAAGAACAGAATGGTGGTAATCGTCTTGGTTACCTTATTTTCCGTTTAAAATGTAACCTTAACGCAACAACATGTTTTCCAGACCCATATTGTCTAAACCACTAATGAAAGGTCGAATGAAAATGACAAAATACCAAACAAATGAGATGTTAGTTTCCTTTTATTGATAACAGCAAGCCAAGTAAGATTCTTTTACATTATTGCCGAGGAATGAAATGGCGTAGGAAACATATTGAGATACACTTCGGTACATTACTGCCCATTGTCTTTACATTTACACAAACATTTCACAGACCAGCCAATGACTCCGTGTTGACGTGGACATTTCTACTTTTCCTCAATAATTATGAAGAAAAACATCCATTTAAAGTCAAGCTGTGAATTTACTCATTTTCAAATATGACTTAAAAAGCACTAAGTTCATTCCAACAATCACTGTGAAAACATTGTTACAAACTTAACCAAGATGCATTCATGCGTTTTAAAATTGATCAATAGAAAAGTTCAAAATCTGATCGAACGATGGCTTTCCATCATCTTTCCATTTCTTTAAAAAGCCTGGAAATGATCTTTAGTTTTATTGTGCCCTTTTATATAAAGGCTTTACACCTGCTCATCACTGGCTCTTCAAATATATGTAACAAAAAAGAAATGGAGAACAGATATGAATTAAGGTAAGTAAGCTTAAGATGCTACAAAGAACCAGAACAACTACATGTAATAGAATGATCAATCCATTTGCACCAAGTTTTTAAAAATGAACACCCTAATAAATATAGCGAACATCATGTGGAATGCATAAATTATATCTAAGAGGAATTTTTGGAAAATGTGATGCAGAAGCAGCAACTAAATGTTTCCCAAATAGCCTTGCTGGTGACGTGATTCCTGTAGGAGGCTTTTGCATTTGAGACTCCTCCGGTGATCCTATGGAAACCTGGAATTATGGGAGCGGACATTGAGAAGGACTACAGGTCCCATCAAAACAGTTTGACCATGCTCTCTCTGGACTTGCCGACTCCGGCCCACTTCACTGAAATGAGAAAGGAAAAAAAGGCAAGATGTGACGGGCCGGTTTGGCAAAGCGAGGAACATCTAGCCATTAGTGTAAAGAGCATATTTACAAACCTGGCACTTGCAGGAAGTCCTCGATGAAGCGGATGTATTTCTGTGCATTTAGCGGCAGCTCCTCGAAGCTTCGGGCGTCCTCTGTGCTGCAGCCCCAGCCGGGCAGCGTCTCGTAGTCCACGCACACCCGCGTCAACACGTCCATGTTCGCTAAAGAAGCACAACCATGACAATGAGTGGAAGATCATTTTTGATCTACTGTTACGGATTTAAACAGGCCGTAATATGCTTTCTCGGGTTTCCCCTTTCCTGGCGCATTTCCACTGCAGCGGGTAGCCCCGTTTAAGCGTCCTTAAATCGTCCTCAAGCGGCCAGGCCAGTTTTTGGTGGCCTTTCCATATAGCGTAGCACCGCCTAGCGGGTACTTTTCCTTGTTTTTCCGGCCCCTTAAAATCGTGGTTCTATCAGGCCAGGGCTGAACTAGTGACGTCAACACTCTCGACTGCTGATTGGTCAGAGAGAATCGTCACAAGATCGCGCGTGAGATCATCCCTAGCGTCGCATATATATCTAGAAGCAAGCTTGCAGCATTTTTATACACAGCATTT